ACAAAAAAGAAAAAAAAGAATTCAAAAAAAATGAAGAAAATCTAAGAGAGCTAACAGACAACCTTATGTGAACAAACATTCAAATCATGGGTGTTTGAGAAGGGAAGCAGTAACAAAAAGGCATTGAAAACCTGTTCAACAAAATAATAATGGAAAACTTCCCAGGTATAGGAAGTGACATGGACCTTCAGATCCAAGAGGCCCAAACAGATTCAATCTAAGAAGTTCTTCTCCAAGACACATTATAGTCAAACTGGCAAAGCTTAAAGACAAAGAAAGAATCCTAAAAGCAGCAAAAGAAAAGCATCAAGTCACCTGTAAGGGAAACCCTATCAGACTAATAGCAGACTTCTCAACAGAAACTCTACAGGCCAGAAGACAATGGATGATATATTCAAAATAATAAAAGAAAAACCCCTCCAGCTGAGAATATTATACCCAGCAAAGCTATTCTTCATAAATGAGGGAGATAGTGTATTTTCTAGACAAGCAAAAACTGCAGGACTTCACTATCACACAACCAGCCCTGCAAGAAATTCCCAAGGGAATCCTGCATCTGGAATCCAAAATGGATAATCCATACCATGAATACATTAGAAGGAACAAAACCCACTGGTAGAACAAAAATGCAAATGAGAAAGAGAGAGAAACTAAATCTTACCACCTCAAAAACCCAACAAACATCAAAGACAATCAATAAAAGGGGAAGAAAGTAACAAAAGATATTTAAAGCATCCAAACAAAAATTGATAAAATGCCAGGAGTAAGATAATACCTCTAAATAACAACACTAAATGTAAATGGATTAAACTCCCACTGAAAAGATATAAGACTGATGGACTGGATTAAAAAGCTAGATCCAACTATATGCTGTCTTCAGGAGACTCACCTTTCCTGTAAAGCCACGCAGACTAATAGTGAAGGGATGTAAAAAGATATACTATGCAAATGGAAACCCAAAATGAGGAGGAGTAGCTATTCTTATATTGGATAAAATAGAGTTTAAACCAGAAACCATAAAAAAGAGTTAAAGAAGGCTACTATACAATAATAATGGGACCTATCCAGCAAAAAGGCATAACAATCATAAATATACATGCACCCAACACCGGAGCACTCAGATATATAAAGCAAATATTATTAGGTCTAAAGAAAGAGATAAATGCCAATATGATAACAGTAGGGACCTGAATACCACTCTCTCAGCACTGGGCAGATCATCTAGGCAACAAATCAACAGAGAAACACAGGATTTGAACCACTCTTTAGACCAATTGGACCTGGCAGATATCTACAGAACATTTCATCCAACAATTATAGAATATACTGTCTTCTAATCAGCACACAGAACATTCTCCTGAATAGACCACATGTGAGATCACAAATCAAGTCTTGACAAATTTTAAAATATTGAAATCATTTCAAGAATCTTTTTGGACTATATGGATTAAAACTAAATATCAATAACAAGCAAAACTCAGGAACTATACAAATACATGGATATTAAACATGTTCCTGAATGACCTATGGGTCAAAGAAGAAATTAAACAGGAGATCAAAAAATTTCTTGAAACTTACTAAAATAAAAACAATCATACCAAAACCTGTGGGATACTGCAAAAGCAGTACAAAGAGGGAAATTTATTGCAATAAAAACTTACATCAAAAGAATAGAAAGATTTCAAATAACCTAATGTTACACCTCAAAGAACTTTAAAAACAAGAAGAATCAATCCCAAAATTAATAGACAGAAAGAAATAATTAAGATCAGAGCAGAACTAAATGAAACAGAGATCCCAAAAACAATATAAAAGATCAACGAAAACAAAAAATTGGTTTTTGAGAAGATAAACAAAATTGACAAGTGGTTAGCTACGCTAACTAAAAAAAGAAGAGAGAAGACTCAAATAAAAAAAGCCAGAAATAAAAAAGGAGACACTACAACCAATAACAGAAATACAATCATTAGAGGCTATTATAAAAAAACTATCTGCCAACAAATTTGAAAACCTGGAAGAAATGAATAAATTGTTGGACACATACAAACTACAAAGACTCAAACAAGAAGAGACAGAAAACCCGAGCAGACTAATAACAAGCAACAAGATTGAAGCAGTAAGCAGTAGTCTCCCAAGAAAGAAAATCTCAGGACCAGACGGCTTTACTGCTGAATTCAGCCAGACCTTTAATGAGGAATTAATACCAATTCTCTTCAAACTGTTCCAAAAAATTGAAACAGAGGCCATTCTCCCAAACACATTCTGTGAAGTCAGCATCACCTGATACCAAAACCAGACAAAGATACAACCAAAAAAAAGAAATCTACAGGTCAATATCTCTGATGAACATAGATAAAAAAATACTTAATAAAATATTAGTAATCAGAATACAGCAACATATCAAAAAAATAACACACCATGATCATGTGGGATTCATCACAGGGATATAAGGAGGGTTCAACATATGCAAGTCAATAAATGTGATACATCACATCAATAAAATCAAAGAAAAAACCATATAATTATCTCAACTGATGCTGAAAAAGCATTTGACAAAATTAAACATTGCTTTATGATAAAGACACTCAGCAAATTAGGTATAGAAAGAATCTCAACACAATAAAAGCCATATATGACAAACCCACCACCAGTACCATCATGAATAGGGAAAAGCTGAAAGCATTTTCTTTGAGACTGGGAACAAGAGAAGGATGCCCACTCTCACCACTCTTATTTAACATAGCTGTGGAAGTTCTAGCCAGAGCAATTGGGCAAGAGAAAGTAATAAAGGGCATCCAACTTAGAAAAGAAGAAATCAAACTGTCCTGTTTACAGATGACATGATCTTATACATAGAAAAACCTAAAGACTCCACCAAAAAACCTCTTAGAGCTGGTAAATTCAGTAAAGCTGCAGGATATAAAATCAATATTAAAAAGTCACTAGCTTTTCTATACACCAACAATAAATTAGCAGAAAAAGAAATCAAGACTCTACCAAAAAACTCTTAGAGCTGATAAATGATTTCAGGAAAGTTGCAGGATACAAAATCAATACCGCAAAATCAGCAGCGTTTTTATACTCCAATAATGAGCTAGCAGAAAAAGAAATCAAGAAAGCAAAAACATTTACAATAGTCACCAAAAAAATAAAATACCCAGAAATCAATTTAAACAAGGAGGTGAAAGATCTTTACAATGAGAACTAGAAATCACTGCTGAAAGAAATTAAAGTGGACACAAAAAAATGGAAAGACATTCCATGCTCTTGGATTGGAAGAATAAACATTGTGAAAATGTCCATACTACCCAAAGCAATCTACAGATTCAATGCAATCCTCATGAAAATATCAATCACATTCTTTGCAGAAATTGAAAGCCAATTTTAAATAATCAGCAGTTGTTTCCCTACATTTTAGCTAAATATTAGCATACAGGACACATCATTCTTTGTAATGACACTTTTTGGGATCTTTGTTTATCCACAGGTAACCACATGGAATTGACCTTCAAGTGCCCATGTGATAATTTTACAAATAAATGAATCATGGATGCTAAATATCTACATACGGGGCTAAATTATCAATAAGGGGATTTAGAAATGTCTAAATAGTCTTGACTCTTATGGTTCATGAGTCTATTGCCTGTCCAGATAAGTGCTTGTGGCAGTATGCAGAAGAGAGTGGGGATAAGGTAGATAAAATAACTGTGTGAAAGGTCTTTTTATTTTCCCCATAAAAAGCACCGAGTTTAAATATTTTCTAAAACTATGTGTATGGTACTCCATGTAATTAAGGTGCAGGGGTCCTAGCAGATGAAACACAAATGTGGACTCTCTATTAAACACTTAGGGAAATGAAGCAGTTTGATCATCAAGAAAACATGCTGCTTGTGAGTCTTATGGGGCAATAAAAATTGGCAAAATAAACAATTCTAAACACCTTCATAATCATCATGCTGAAAGTATACCTGTACTCCAATGTCTATTGCAGCACTATTTATAATAGCCAAGAGTTGGAACCAGCCCAAATGTCCATCATCAGATGACTGGATAAGGAAACTGTCTTATATCTCCACAGTGGAATACTACTCTGCTATAAAAAAGAGTGAAATACTACCATTCGCAACAACATGGATGGACTTAGAAAAAATTATATTGAGTGAAATAAGTCAGGCACAGAAAGAGAAATACCACATGTTCTCACTTATGTGTGGGAGCTGAAAATAAATAAATAAATAAATAAATACATATACAAACAAACAGTGGGGGGATGGGGTGGGAAAGAAGACACAATAATCACAACAATTCCTTGAACTTGCTAAGACAAGTGAATAGATATGATGTTGATGGGTGGG